AACAGAAGCCGGAGTGATTTGAATGTCTAACAATGGGTCAACCTGTTTGACTGGAATGGAAGGAAGAGAATGTCCATAAGATTCAAGAGTGGAAATAGGATTCAAGAGTGCAAATAGTTCTGCCTTATCTTTGGGAGATTGGGAGAGGTAATAAGATCAGTCTCATGAATGACAGATAGAATGTTAGATCTACCCTTGTTAATAATGCTGTTGAAGATTTTCCAAAAGTCTTTAGAGCTTAACTTCTGTGATAAGATGCGAGATTTAGTGAACTGAGAATAATGGAGTTTCGCATCAGAAAGCACCTTTTTACATCGATTTCTTGCAATAATAAATAGCGGTTTGTTCTCAAGAGAGTTGTTTTTTAGAAAAAGATGAAAAAAATGATTACGATTGGATATAGCAGCCGCACAAGAAGGAGAAAACCTTGGAGAAGAATGAGGCTTGAATTGAAACCGACGAGAAGGAATAAAAGCCTCCATTCCAGCCTGAATCCAGGAGGTTATGTAGGAGGCGCATTTGTCAGCTGAGAGAGAAAAAACATCAGCCCAAGGACCATCACGAAGAAAATCACGAAAGGAATCCCAGTCAGCTTTAGGGTAGTAGTAGGTGGGGCGATGATAAGGTGAGCCCAAAAAAGAAGTACGAGAAGAAAGATTTATAGAGATCATTGCATGGTCAGAACCACCTAAGGGAGAAAAGGGAGAAACTGAACATAAGCTAGGGTCAGAGACAAGACACAAGTCAAGGAGTGAAGGTAAATGATTAGCGTTGTCAGGAAAACGAGTCACAAAGTTAACTATCTGAGTAAGAGATTGAGAAACGCAGAAGTTAAAGGCTTTAGTGCCAGGAGGATCAGTGGTGTTAGAGCCTAGCCATTCAGTGTGATTGGCATTAAAATCACCAACAACAACAATATTGGCAGAGGGGTAAAGAGAGAGGGCATGGTCAATTTGATCAGAGATAACATCTAAGAGAGTGCAATCATGGGAAGAAGAAGAACGATATAGAACAAAGAGAAAGGTGATAGAGTGAAGAGGTGCTAGGCAAAAGCACATAAAAGAAT